GTAGATGAAGTTACCCTCTTCGTCTTTCTTTGTGTGAATATGACACGGCAGGTCCATCACATCATTATCCTCCTTATCTTTTATTTTCTTGGGGTTCCAAGATCCTTTGGGTTTCCCTTTAAATTTGCCCTGTGTCACGGCCAGAGCCTCTCCAGGAGCTGCTGGCTCGGCCTTCCGCTTTTGCTTCCGACTGGAGTTTCCTTTATCCGACTGACTCGGCTTGTACTTGCCGCTCCGGAGTCGGTCCTCTTCTTCACCGTTGGCGTACTTGGTGGCTATTTCCATCATCCGACTCAGGGTCATGTCTCCGGTTCGACCAAACTTCAAGCTCAACTCTCTGTTCTTGACGCCCTCTTTGAAGGCGCAGACCGCTTGATGGTCCGACACATTCTCTACAATGTGATGCAAAGTGGTCCACCTCTGGATGTAATCCCTCAGTGTTTCACTCGACTTTTGTACACAAACTTGTAGCTCAGTCAGTCCAGCAGGTCGCTTGCAAGTTCCCTCAAACGTCCTGACGAACACTCGAGAAAGATCTTCCCAGGTGTAAATGCTGCTGGGAGCTAACTGATTCAACCATGCCCTGGCTGAACCTCCTAGCATAAGTGGCAAATGTTTCATGGATACTTCATCATTACCGCCACCAATCTGAATAGCCACTCGGTAGTCTTCGAGCCAAGTTTCAGGCTTAGACTCTCCGGTGAACTTATTCACCCCAGTCGCCAACCTGAAGTTGGGGGGTATCATTGCGGTTCTGATCGCTCTGCTAAAACATTCTGGACCTGAAACATGGACTCGGCTGCTTGTGGGCACATCTCTGTCATGACCACCTCTATGAGCTCTGTTTCGGTCGACCAAACCTTGCACGATGACGGATCTCGCGTCAAAGCCTGGCTCTCTGGGGTCGATTGGAGCTCTCCGCCCGACACTGAGCTAGCATCTGTCATCTTGCTGCCGATGGGCGTTAGACCCACTTCTCGGAGGAGGAGTGGGCACTCGACGCCGGTCATCGCGATCAAATCGGTCATCATAGTGGTCCCGTCGGCCTTCACGTCCCATGCGCCTCGGAGGCGACCTTGGACTGTGAGCCGACTGAATCGTATTCGCAGCGACAGATCGACTGTGAATCCTGTTACGTGACTGCGACACAGCTGAATTCTGATCTCCTGCCGCCCGGAGCAAATCTCTGATCTGCATCAGGCCTCTTCCAGCCTCTGACTGAGAGGGCTGAATCGACTCCGCTATGCGGGTTGCAGCTGCCAAATTCTGAATTGGGGTTCGATATACCTGAGTTGGTTGCGGAAAGAGCTAACGTCGATTGGAGTTAGTTGCTCACTGACGTGCACACTCGTCGAGTGCTCGCTGAAGGTTCTCCAGTCGAGTGCGTTCAGCCAGGTTGGCTAAACGCGCCTCTTCCAGGGCGCGAGCCTCGGGTGTTTCTCCTGCAATGGGAGTATGCAAAGCATCCATGTTCCGGCGGCGAAGTTCTTCCCTCTGCTGGGAAGTGAGCGGCTCGGGTTGGTACTCTTCATGGGCTTGAGCAGGGTCGTCCTCGTCGTCCACGCCGTCGCCGCGGGGGAAACCGGGAGGACTACGGGGCCCGTTGACCATCAGGACTTCCGCCGCTGGATCACTGCTATCGCACTCGGATGCAGTCTCTACGGAGCCAGTCGACAAGTCGAACAGGCCGTAGAGAAATTCGTCGGGCTCGATCGCCGCGACTTGGGTGGTGGCCGATTGGCGAGCCACTGCGTGTCTCACCCATCGCTGGAGCCTCGACCGACCGGAGCGCTTGCGCTGGCGGGAGACAGGGAGGGAGGATGGCGCAGGAGTCGACCGGTACGGGGTCGACGGTTGTCGCAGCAAGACGCCGCGGACACACGCCCGAAAGTGTGTCGCCCCGCGGACGGGGAGCGCGTCGATGTCGAGTGGTGCCTCCTGGAGCCAAGCGGAGTCGTCGGCGATGAAAGTGAGCGCACCGAGACGGATCTCGCGGCCCTCGACCTGAGCTCCACCGAAAACCATGATGAAGGCGCTCGGACAAATTGCAACTTCTCCAAAAAAGTCGCTAAGACACCAGCCCCACGGTGGGCGCCAACTGTCGTGGTTCTAAGTCTGACAGTATAATGGGGGTAAGTATGAGAAGGCAAGGTCCTAGCTATGGAGCAGTTGTACACGCGAGTGTTTAACGAGTTCAGACCCTTCTCTGAGGAAGTAACAGACCTACGTCTCGGAGCCCGGAGGCGGTCGACTGATCTCTGTGTATATGAGTTACAGGGGTGCGAACCCTTCTACCAGTGGAGGGGGGTGGCTTATATAAAGGACGCCAGGACCCCAGCCAGCCCACGTAGAGGAGGGTTAAAGTACATTAAGGCTGGGCGTTACTGGTAACGCCCTACATAAAGTGTCATCATGACCATTAAGACTATTTAATTACAGACCGTTTGGATGCAGAGTAGATCCTGAACTTCTGATAGTCGAGTGCATCTTCATGGTCGAGTGTCTTCTAGCCAGTCGAGCGGAGTCTCCCTTGATCGAGTGGAACTTCTCTTGGTCGACTGGAAGGTAGCTTCGTATGATGATGTCCTTGGGCATGGTATCCTAGATAGGTCCATGACCCTACCCTATGTACATAACCTCATCACCCACCACTACCAATGTTGCGCCCGCTTATCCAATTGAAAGAGTGTCAAATAAAGGTCGCCGAGTCTTTCGTATTTGTTTCCCATCGCATGCAGCAAATCCACCCTCGTTTCCTGTCGGTATGTGCCCATTATGGGTATATACCCATATACCATTCACCATTGCCACCACATTCTCCCTCTCTCCCTCATCTCCATCACTAGCGCACTCTATCCTAATCAGCCACCTCGGACGGCCGCCACCCCCTCCCCCCATCTTCCCACTTCGTCGTTGCCATAACCCCATCGACCATGTCGGTGCAGCTACGCCCTCTCCGTGGACCTTCCGACGGCAAGACCAAAGATAACCATGCAATTAGTACTTTGTGTTAGATAAGTAGTCAAAATGGATGAAAGTGTCACAAAAGGAACAAAATTTAGACTTTGTGTTAGATAAAGAAGAAAAAGTTTTCCAGTGTCGAATAAGGAAAGAAAATTTAAGACAGTGTTAAATAAGGAATTCTCTCTTGATTAAGCCGTTGGTCACGATCGCCTACCAACCACCCTTGAATACTTCGATCACATGTTGATGGCTGCCATGGCAAAAATGAGCGTCGCTCTCACGCCGACCTTTAAGACTGTGGCCTTATCCCGCATCCAGGATGCACAGACGTTTGTCGACCGCGTGACCGCGGAAGTCGAAGCCTCCAACACTTGCGCGGTCACTTCAAATAGGAGAAAAATACTGCGATTCAATTAGGACAGAATCTTATTATTGATGTCGTTTAAATTGTATTTGTAATCCTTACTGAAATTCATTTTGTAAATAGGTGTTGAAATCCAAGTACGGAAAAACTTTCATTGTTGAGGTGAGGAAGGGAAATCTTATAGCTACTGATAAACAGTCTCACATTGGAAAAAGTTTTTAGAAAACTATGTTTATGGGACTCTATATTTACGTTTTGTCTCAGCAGCCTTCATATCCATTCGGAGCGCGTTATGAGGCTGCGATATGGATGTTGCTCTAAGCCTCTAACCTCGGATGTTTGGTCGTACTGGTCCGTCGTTTGTGTTTTTCTCCATTTAATGCAAACCAACTAGTACTAATCTATATCAATAATACTATCCAATTAATATACTAATTAAGCTGAAATAACCACTATTATGATGACAACTCCATCAATGGGTTGCACTAATTAAGTTGCATGTTGAGCAACAACCAAGCACAGACGTACAGACGTGATACCAAGGCCAAACAGATGACGGAGTATATCCATCTTCATTACTACTTAAATGATTAATTACTATTTCAAAAACTCTATGTCTTTTCACTTTATAATTTTAAACTTTTGAATGTCACTTTATCTATACACCAACCTCTTAGTCTTGCACCATGTGAAAACTGAAAACTAGAAGATCTACTGATGTTATTTTTCTTGATTGAGCAGCTTCTAGGTTAGGAATGAAGGAACTATTGCCACCGTACCTCAGAGACGATCTTCCAATAAGTGAGCTACTCACCGGTGTCGTCTTTGCTTCTGATGGCGGCGGATATGATCCTTTTACTTCGATACCCGTGGTAACAGAACATATCACATGCATCTCACACAATACAGTTATCGTGTACTAGTATATTTCATTTTGGTTTCACCTGAAACTAAGAATATTACTAGAGATTCCTAATGCTAACTTCCTACTATGATTAGGAATGCTAGATCGAGCACTGAGCAACTTGGATTATTCCTCAAATATAAGGGGAGACTAAAAACTTCAGTCAGAGAAGATGAGATGACACGTGTTATATCTGAAGGCATATACTTCACAGTAATGGGGGCAAATGACCTTGTAAACAATTATTTTACATTTCCTTTGAGGCCCTATCAATATAATCTTCCTTCGTACGTGAAATTTCTTGTCTCTTCCGCCGTCAACTTTACTATGGTAAGAGTATTCATTAAAACTCTAAACCTGCTGGGAAATAGTCAATGTCATAGTTTCTTAAAAAAACTTGTTTGGCTCCCTCCTTTTCAACAAAGTTCTCGTGCTCATTTAGTTCTTCGGAATTTTGAAGTTTTGCGTATTTCCCTCAAACTCAAACACTATGACCCATTCGTTTCGTAAGGCATTTAATAGATTCCTTTAGTTGACACAAATACATTTTATGTGTTTGAAAATTTAGTACATTACTCAGTCTGTACCATCGAAATCTCTGGACAAAGTTTCAGCATAAGGATATTTATAATTATCATGGTACTTACAGTCACCTACTTTTATTTACAATCCATGTATATGTTGTTTAATTAGCATTTGATCAGTAAACCAGATATTTATAAAATTTAGTATGTTCATATATATTCTTATAAACAGAAACTAAATGAGATGGGTGCAAAGAGGATTGGATTCATTGGCATTCCACCAATTGGATGTTGTCCCTCGCAAAGCAAACTTGGATCAAGAGAATATGAGCCCATGAGAAATCAAGCGGTGGAACTATTCAATTCTGAAATAGCAACGGAAATTCATCGGTTAAATGCTGAAAAAACTATTCAAGGCTCCAAGTTTATTTATCTTGACATATACTACAATCTGCTTGAGCTCATTCAGCATCCTGGTTTTTATGGTGAGTACACATTTTATCCTTGATTTTCATTTTTAGGGCATGTTAAATGTAACAGTAGAGTATCGCTGCAATATAAATATATTGACAGATAACAATGAAAACCTATTTAGGCTGGTCATAGGGAGACTAACATAGCAAGTAACATAACACATCTCAAGACAATTTTGCTTGGCAAATAGTTAATGAGAGATGTGTTTGTGCTAACATAATATGTTACTGTAACATAGCACACCCCAAAAGTTAAATGAGTCTATATCTAAATAAATGAAGGCTTGCATGACACTACACATATATTATGAAGGTAATAATATAGACTAGTAACATATGCATATTACTTCTCTAAGTTACTTCCCACTATGACCAACCTGAAACTCCAAAATGCAATAAATCTTACAAAATTATGGACAAACTAAAGTATCAAGAACAACTACTATACTAATATTTACATAGTTTATATACTTGGCTTAGGAATATGTGACTTTATATGGTGTTTAAAAATACAAGTTGGTTGACATGTTATCATCATAATTATTTGTTACTAAATATTTTGAAACTTCCTGTAATATAGGATTCAAGGAGGCAACCGAAGGATATTGTGGCAGCACCCTGCTAAATGCAGCAATATTTGTTAAAAATCAACATGCATGTCCAAATGGTTATGATTATATTTTCTGGGACAGCTTTCATCCTACTGAAAAGGCCTACAACATTGTGGTTGATAAACTTTTTGAGACAACGGTGCAGTATTTGATGTGAATAAATTCACTCTCTATGGTCGCATGAACAAATATTATTAGACTTGAACTATGAAATTTGTAAAGGATGGACCATTCATGCAAACTTGTATTGCCAATGAAAGTTTGCATGCCGTCCAGAATGGGAAAACCCTAGAGGTCCATGAATATATAAGAATTTCGTTCTTTAGAAGAACAGACATGATGTGGTGCTAAAGTACTTCCCGTTTGTGCCAAGACGTCCGTGGTTCGACGTGGCCTCTCTTTATTTCATTGTGCAAGGATAAGGCTTGCTTTATATAATCTTTGCCTAGACTTCACCTAGTGTGCAAGCTTTTAGCACTGGGTCAGTGTAAATTATCGCAAAACTTATTCAAGGGATAGCATGTGCACCAAAGTTTCATCGGTTGCAAATTTGTTGTCCATTGGAAGTGGTTGAGAACTTACTGATTTGAGAATTGTCCTTTAGCAAAATGATGTGTTGATCTTTAAAGAATTAACGTACCAAATAGCTTGGCATGACATATTCATGTGGTATATTCTATCTGGTTCTGGTTGCAAATTAGGTGTCATGTATTGAGCTATCACATGCAAACTCGCCCTGATTTGGTGATTTGTTTGTTTGCAATGGCCAACACACACACAAAGGATCGCGCCGACAAATATCAACGCCATAGAAGAGAAAAGCTATGCCTGAGGGGGGGGGGACAAAGCAATGAACGCAACAGTCGACGAAATACTAGAATGGCCATTTCTTGACAACACAAACACATGAGAAGGATTCTCCAAAAGTAACGACTCGATGAAGGGAACGAGATGCAAACGCCGTTGTTGGATCCAACCACCGAGTGCCAGACCGTGGGTTATCATTCCAAAGGTTAAGTTCGAGTAAACTCCAAGAAAAGCATTCTATAAGCAGGTGACAATGGAAAAACATCATTATAGCCAAGTATAAAAAATTGTGACTTGACCTAGGATTTTCACCTAAAGCTCAAGACTTGGCACTCAAGAAGCTAGCAAACCAAAGTCATCATTTGGTTTCGCCTCCACTTTCTGATCTCAATAGTTACATATGCGCACAGTCATGACACGAGGTGCCACACGAGTGATGACCATGTTTGCACAAGTAGGCAATCGAGCCGCTCGCCACAAAAAGCATTGGATGGAGAAAGCTTGCCAGCGCATACGAGACGAAGTCATTGATGTGGGAGGAAGGGCACCGACACTACCAAAATCTCCATTTCGGGACACTCCATCTATCCTGCACGGTCCTCACATGTGGTAGCCGGTGGTAGATCTACATTACACAACACCACCACGCATTGCTTTCACTCCACTGCCCTCGGCTATGTCAGAAGATCATTGATGGACCATCATACAAAGGAGAAGCCATCTTCGGTACGAGTCCAGCCGATACCCTCCACTAAAAAAGACATATCCGTGATGATACGCTTTTGTCATAGTAGGTCACATTTTCTGTCACCCATGTACATCCATGATAGTTTTATGACAAAATCAAGATAGTCATACCCCTATGCTTTCGGGGGTGTATTCCATGACAATAGTTACTTTTTCATCACGGATGTATCACTTCTATGATGATAAATGTTGTCATGGAACGGCTTTTGTCAAGGGGAACCGACATAATGGGTCACCGTTAAACTATCGGGTGCGGGTTACGGATTCGATACCCATTATCATCTTTGATGAATGACAATTTTCCACGTGTTAGATTCTCATTCGCCAATGGAGCCACGCGTCAGCTCTAACTTGTGACAATTGTCGCTCATCTAATGGATGATGTGCGCCTATGAACTGACAACACATGTCTCCCATACAACGGGCGATGTGCGCCTATGAACTGATAACACATGGAATGGCCCAACAATGGCATGTTTAGTTAAAAAGACCAGCCATTGCCTTACGAAATTACTCATAAATCACAGTCGAATCACAAGAATAAATCATTTAAGACAACATAAAGATGAATGGTTGATTTATAAATAATCTTACAATGTTACCAATTGGCGATGCATCGATTACAAGTATGATGGAGATGATTGAGATGGAGATGAGATGAGAAATGGCGACAACTAGGGTTTGTGAATAGCTTATAGTGGAATTTTGTCGCCCTGTGTCTATGGATGTCACTCCTTCTAAAATAGGCATGCCCTCTTTATAAACTGTGATGAGGTGGATGCCACGGTGCTCCTAGCGGATAGTATGACCATATATGAGTGGCCAAGGTCATACAGAACTCCGTCTTTTACTCTTTTGCTCCTGGTGCGCCTCCAATTAACCTGACTTGGTTCCCACACTTGGTATTTCCATATATATGATCATTTTCTTCCATCTTTTGGTTCATTTTCTATGTGAACACATTAAACAAGGGATTTCACAATTTATTGCATTCATTAGTCATTAGTGGCAATATCAAAGCGATTCTCTCAGAAAATACTGGATTATACAATTCAAACTATGGTGTAATCTATACCAATATAAAAAGACCCAAAGGGGCAGATCCAACACATCTTGGCCATCCAATCATGTTAATCTAACGGTCTTTATTATCCTAATGGTGAGTGATTAAACACATTTAGCGCTAAACACTCTTTCCATTAGCTGATGACGTTCCTATCGCACAAAAGGAAACTCACAGGGGACCGCCGCACCATCGTGGACGCCTCCTCTCTCCGCCTCGATCGCATCGATCCACTTCCCCCATCGCATCCAGTTGCCCACCGAGCCGTACCCATCGCCTCGCCTGGCCTCGGCCATCGTCGGCAACGCCGTCCGTGAAGTCGCCTCCTACACCGCCTGGCTGACCGTCCATTAGGGACGCCGCCTCCTACATCGCCTGGTCTGCAGACCGTCGGGGACGCCGCCTGGCAAAACCATCCGGGAAGGGGAGGCGTCGCCTAAACCTCCTCGCGGGCCGTCGGGGACGCCGCCTAAACTACCTTGCCATCCATCACTGCCTAAACCGCCCTATGTTCACGTCTCCCCCTCATCGAGCCGCCTTCAAGCACACAACCGCTAGGCTGGAGGTCTGTCATCTCTGTTTTCTTTCGTTCATCTTATTTTTCCAGTGACGTGTTGCTTCACATTTGAAATTTTTCTTCATGTGTGACATATTGATTCACGTTGACAAAACTAAAGCCAGCCAAAGCAAGCTTGTTACTAGAGTTCTAAATAAATCTTCCATTGGTTATTCGAATGCAGACATTCAGCTGTTAAGCTTCATTACCAATATGACTTGCATTGCTTGTGTTTTTGGCTCACCAATGATCATATTATATTGATTTCCCTGATTTTGTACACACATCAAGTAGATGAAAAAATAGTCATTCGGGGTGCTTCTCCGTCGCGATTAGGGAATTGTTCCCAGTTTTTGTTGCAATGTAGCTATCCTGGATATGCCTCTTTTCCATTCATCCATCGGTGGAGATGTGAAGTGGTGAACCACACATGGGAAGCTCGCCGGTTGGAACTATCTACATCTCAGATGCCTGGCAAAAGATGGACAGAGCGGCAGATGCGGCGGCAGAGCAAGCAGTTAGGGATCCACAACGAGTATTCGAGTTAGACATGCTAGCCCTGTCCAATCATTCATTTTTTGGCTTCTCTAATATTGGAAGGGGATCATTGTGACAAGAGATTGTCCAACAATTATGTTTGCCGTTTTTCAGCTGGCATAGAGGGGATCAAGCATTCCTTTGTTGTCTTGTGCAATCAGCCTTCAGGAAGGAACCACAGTTGATCTTGTGCAGTTCAAGACTCGCCTCAAGCGTTGCTGTAACAGTTCCTAGGCACTTGGCAGCTGCCCCAACTATGATGCAATGCAACTCAGCATATAGCTTCCTGGATACCCACAGACTTAATTGTTAAGGCTGTTATTACTGTAATCAGGCACTACGTACGACCATATGGGAATGCTTTTTTTATCTTCTTTCTTTGCTCGCAGATTTGGTCATTTGGATAGCACATTATCAAGTGGTCTTATTTAAAGTTTAGTATAATATAAGATACAAGACGTGGTCGTTCAGAAAAGTGCTTTCACATGACAGTAACAGTATGGACGTAATACCGTAAAAAAACAATATGGAGGTAAGGAGGAGTTGTTTGTTGGAATCCACAGTGGACCGTACGTACAGAACGTACAATTCAGTCATGTTAACCTGCCATGTTATTTGCTATTAGCCAAAGCTTAGACAATTTTGTTGAGGTTATTTCTTTTTTCATAAGTTGCATTAGTTCTCAAGGCACCCGGTTCTTTTGTCTATCTATATATCCACTCAACTTTGATGCATTTTTTTCTTAGCTCTGCTTTTCATTGGTGCCTTAACATTCACACTCATATAACAAGTGTTGAAATTCTAACATGCAAGGTTCTTGATCGGTTGACTGGGAGTCCTTTCCTACATGTTCTCTTATGCACAATTGTACAATTGGCTAGCTAAATGAGTGTATGGTAAATTTCAGATTCTTTTGTAGTTTCATCTACTGGGATTTTAAGGTAGTATAAGCTTTGGTATTTTGTATAGAAAAGGGTGTTTTTTCCTAATGTACACACTTTAGTCTTCGTGTTGTTGATGCAAGTAAACAGTTCGCGTAGGATATGAACCAGATACGCGGCCTTGCACCTGGTCAAGGCTAGCTTCTACAAATTCATTTTTGTTGTTTTTATGCATATTACCATACATGACTGTATGTTTTGGTATACATTTGTATTTATTCAGATCTGCCACGTGTTGTAACTCTATCTAGAAGAACTCTTGCAGAATTTTTTTGTTTGATCTTCACGTGTGTTGCGTCTTCAACCATCAAAAGTATAGCTGGAACTACTGGGAGATACTAAACAACCACCTGGAATTACGAGCTTAGCTATGTTCATTTTAATATCTGGTATTTTTTATTTATGGAAGGTATGCACTGCATGGTAAAAAGAATGAGTTCATGGTGTGTCATGTCACCTCTATTACACACTTACATTAACTTGTATACAAGTTAGCACATTATATT